CATATTTTCTTTACAAAAACATGCATGCAGACTTATATATATATATATAAAAAAAATATGAACATGCAAAACCATTAATGGAAGACATGAAAATGATGAATATATATGAAATCAACATTTACTAACACTTAATTTATATGTATAAATGTAACAACAGCTTGATTCCAAAAAACTTTAATGATAAATTTACAATAAATGTAAACAAAAAATATTCTCTTAGAATAAACCAATGGAATACTTATAAATTACCAAGAATTAATAGTAAGTATTCTGAATATGGAATATCATACCGTGGACCAAAACTATGGAACACTTTTCAAAAAACAAAAAATTTAAATACTGTAAAATCATTAAATTCTTTTAAGTTTATAATAAAAAATGAAATTTTTAAATTAGATAAATAGTTTTCTTGATTTTTCGAAATGAAAAACGAGTTCCATTATTCTTAGTTTTTTTACTTGTTAATAGGCTCTTATTTTGATACTTAACAGAGTTGCCAATATATTTTAATGAATATTGATAAAACTATATGATGTTATTTACTTTCTTGATTTAATGGAAATATTTATGCAAGCTTTAACCTTTTTATTATATTGGAGATACTATTTTTTTTAACTTGTAAAGCCCACCTAGGGGCTCTATGAAAAGATTGTGGTGACTTTAGTATTAGTATTAGCTTGAGCGGTCCTCACAACATTTCCTTAGGCTAAGGAGGCCCCCATAACAAATTGAGTTTGATATGCCTGTGTTAAGCGATACAATAAAAAAAAGATTTATCTTGAACTATTGCTAATTTGTTTTATTTATAAAAAGTTTATAATTTTCAGACCTGTTACTACCATTTTGTTTACAGTTTGAGGATTTTATTTTTATCTAAAAAAATTTTAATTTCTTTATTTAGAAAAACAATATTAGTAATAAGTTCAAAAGAATGGTCATTTTTATAACTTAACTTCAGTAATTATAAGAAACTAAAACTTCAATTATTATAAGAAACTATATAAATAACATTGATCATCCAAAAATAATGAAATGCAATTTTAGCAATGAGCAAAGATGAACTTAGTATTCGAAAAGCTGCTGATACGTATTGCATTTTTAAATTTACTTTTTATTAGCAAATTGCTTTAAAGCTAGCTCATAAAAAATGTTGCCAAATACTTTCAGGATGCTTTTTGTTTAGTTTATTTTATATTTTTTGTTTAATTCTAAATTTAGTAAGAGTTACAAATTCAACGCTAGTTCTGCCCTACTTAATTTATAAAAAAAAATTTAAGTTTGTTTGTATAATAGTATTTTATAATAAAACATAAATTGCAAAATGTAAAATTTTTTTGGAAGTCTAATGTTTTGTTACTTTATTTTGAGAAACATTTTTTTTATCATTTTTTTATATCAATAAATTTTAGGAAATTTATAAAAAACAGTGTTAAATATGATTTTTGTATCTACAACATGCATTTGTTGGGGTCAGAGTAACAACATGTTGCTAATCTGTCTAATCAGTTTTTTATGTATGATCTGTCCAACAAAATCCGTAAATATAATGATGTTTAACTACATCTGTCCAACAAAATCTGTAAATACACTGAGGTATACACTGATGTGTCATAACACCTGTGTAAAAAGTAAATGATTACTACAGATGTACATCTTTTCAATTATTTAAGTATAGTAACATCTGTGCAATTACTTTCAATTATTTAAGTATAATAACATCTGTGCAATTATAAGTTTTATAGGTGTAGTTACATCTTTTCATTTATATTAAATATAAATGAAAATTAAATACAGCATTTTATGAAGTTGTTAAATTATAACGCATTCTTTTAACCTTTACATATACAGTTTTTAGATGAAGTTACATCTGGAAAAAATTATTAAATAAAAATGTATTTGTTTAAGCAGATGCAGTTTCATATATATATATATATATTTTTTCAGATCATTTTCAGTTACATCTGAAAAAGATAATAAACATAAATGCATTATTTTAACCAGACGTATTTACATATAAATATTTTTTCAGATATAAATACATCTGGAAGAAATTCTTCCAGATGTTATTGGATATGGAGAAAAATGACTAGATGCAGTTATATCTTTCTAAATATGTTGTTAGACGTCACTAATTTTCCAGATGATATTGGACATATGTTGTTTGAGAAAAATAAAATACATATGATCTTGGACTACTTTACAGATGTTGAATAGATGCAGAAATCTTTTACTCTTTAATGAACACGCAGAATTTTCTAATATATAACAAAAAATATCAAAATAAATAAACAAAAATATGTTTTTCGAAGTTTGAGAAACAAAAATATGTTTATCTAAAATCTTATTTTAAGGAAATATTACACGTAATAAAAATCATTCTACACTTAAGAAATTAACTATCCATGTTTTTTTTAAAATTTATTTTAGCATATTATTACTATAAACTAAAAATACATACTAAAACTACAGTTTATTTTGTAAAAAAAATTGATTTTTTTTAGCCAAATAAAAATTAAATCGTATAGATACTTCGCTAAATTTTTTAACATCTATAAACAACTAACATTAGATTTTTCTGTTTGATTTCAGGAGTTTAATGCACAGGTAAAAAATCTATAAGCTATAAAATTCAAAAACTAATAACAACTATGAATCTTAGAGATTGTCAACTCAGTTTTTTATTTTTTCAGTATAAATCGTTCATGTCGCTCAATATAAACTTGAAATCTGAAGTCAGATTTTACTGATTTTGTTGCCGGAACATTATAAAAATTATGCTATGAATAATATATAATGTAACGCAATTAGTTTGAAACATTTAAAATGGTCGAAATAATAAGCAGTTAAAAATAATATTTTATTGATTTCTCAAAAATAAATCTCTTTATATTAATACTGAACTTAATAGAGTTAATGTCCAATCGTGGGTGTTTGACACGGAACTCTTGTCAACATATCCATATTTTGATTCAAAGCATTTTTTTGTCGTTTTATAAAGTCTTTAGTTCATTAAATAGTGTTAAAATATTTTAAAAAGACTAATTGCTTTAGTGGCCGAAATGGTTAGTTCGTCACGAGGTGCATCGCCGTGGTTCAAATCCCATTATTTGCACTATTTTCTTTCAAACTTTTTCTATTTTTAAAAATACTAAATAAAACATTTTTGGATTTTTATAGATATTTTATACATAACATATATAAATACATTACATGCTATAACAAACGAAAAGGAGAGAGTTTTTAAAAAAGCATAAAATTTCTAAAAAGATCAAAACACTGGGAGAAATATTTTGCTCAAAAGTCATAATAAAGTTACTTATGTTGTTAATTTTTTACATAATAAGTTATGCAAAACTGACTAAACTCTCTCTTTATATAGAAAGTTTAATCAGTTTTGTGTAAGCTATTGTTATATAATTTATATATATATATATATATATATATATATATATATATATATATATATATATATATATATATATATATATATATATATATATATATATATATATATATATATATATATATATATATATATATATATATATATATATATATATATATATATATATAGCAAGATTTAAAAGATTTAAAAATTCATTACGCTTAGAGGAGAACTTGAACCCTCACTAAACCACTGAGCTATCAAAGATATGCGTTTTGGAATTAAACAAACCATTTTTTAAATTTTTTATAGGCGGAAAAAATGCGCATTTTATTTTATTTTTTGCTCTTAAAGCATATTTTCAGAATGAATTATTTTCCTAAAAAATATTTAAGTAAATAAGGATTTAGTATAAAAGTGAGTGGAATAGACTTGCCCCGTAAAAAGACCCGTATTTTTACGGGTTTAGTCAGCTAGTTTAATATAATATCCGTTGAAAGATAATATTCTTTTAAATTATCCCTAATTCGTTTTTTTTAAAAAACGGATTAGGGATCGAAAAATTAAAATTGGTATAAAAGATTTTTTTCAGAAATATGGTGCTTGATAATTTATTCAAAACTGACTAAACTCAAATCGGCAAAAACGTTTATTTAAAAAACTATTATGTTGCAAGCTATATTTATTCTTTGCATACTTAACCTACATTACATTGTTTGCACAATGATATAGGAACATGAAAAGCGAACTACAACACTAAGAAATTTATAACTCTTAGCTAATAATTTTTGCGTTGTGTAATTTGAAATTATTAAAAGATCTAAACGAAGACATTAAGAAATTTTTCAATTTATTGTCCATTGGGAACGATTAATCAGGTAGACGTCAATCGGAAATATCACGCACGTTCTGACGTCCGTAAGACGTCTTATGACGTGCACTGGAAGACGTATGCTTTCTGGGCAACTAAGATTTTTAAAAATCTTTGAAATATTTTAAAAGATTTAAAACTTTGTATTAAAACAATTTAGACTAAATTTATCCTATCAAACATAGTCTAAGTGGATTTGCAGCGGGCCTTTATTAGCATTTAGCGGTTTAATGGAGTCTTGTTTGGTTACTTAATGGACCATTAGAGGCAGCCGCTATTAATGGCAAGCCGATAACTTTCTGAAAATGTAATAGTGGCTAGTTATCAGCTAGCCACTTTTGGTGGTTGTTGCTACTGGTTAACAAAGTAACCGAATAGTACAAGTGCAAGTGTCCGTTCCGAATAGTACAAGTGCAAGTGTCCGTTCACATTGCCTATATAGGTCCACTGAAATTCCGTTAAAGAATATTTTCTGGGATGTTAAATATTATTATTTAACACTTTTTATTTACTTCATTAACTTTTATTATTATTTAGTTAATTAAATAATAATAAAAGTTAATGAAATAAATAAATATTCAAAATTCAAGAGTTTTTATTCAATAAACTACTGAGTTTCTTTCAGCAAATATAGTATTATATTTAGAATAGTTCAATATTTAACGTGTCCCAATAACTTTAAATTTTTTTCTTTTTTTTTTATCAAAAATGCCATCAAAAAACATTACCACAAAACTATTTTAGGTGTAGACATCACAGTTGGATCTATTATTGGCCACCATATGTTAACGAACGAGTTGTATGCTGTACATCGCAACCAAAAAATGTACTTGGTGTTTCATGGCTACTATAAGAAATGGCTTGCAATATCTAATAAAGATTTTTTAAACAAATCAAAAGACATTATTTTTAACAGTTGGAAAAATTTAGAAAGTGATAATGTTGAAGAATTTAAGTTGTGTTCAAAACAATGGATGGGTAATATTTTTTAAAGTAAAACTATTTATAATAGAGTAAGTGATTAAAATGTTGGTCTTTAGATCTATAGGTCTGAAGTTTAAATTTTTATAAACCATTGGATCTAAGGATCTGTAGTTTAAATCTTTATACATTGTTAGTTCTGAAGTTTAAGTCTTTATCAAAAATACTTTAAATACTTTTTAACTAAATGATTTAAGCCTTTACATATTTCTTTATTAGCAGAATTGACTGAACTAAGGTTTTAGCGACAAAAATGTTACGAAAAACAAAGTTGGAGAAAATATATTATGTTGCAATGTTAAAGAATTAAGTTCTTTAACAAAAAAAAGCATAACTTATTCTTACTTTTATCTTAAGTTATATGTTGACATTTACCACCAATTTTTTAAAATGTTTTGCTTTTGCCAATATTTTTCACAGATTTTTAGCGTCAACTATGAAAATTACCTTTGTATTAAAAAAAAAAAAGAAAATCATTTTAAGGTCATCGGTAATCATTTTAAAATCATTGGTAAAGTAATACATTTTTATAAAAAAATGTATTACTTTACCGATAGATAAGATGGGCAGCAAATCGTTTATCATTTCTAGAGTTAAAAAGAAAAAAAATAATCCCAATGGACACGGGACGTTTTTAAAATGTTCTTTGGACGTTTTTATTAGGTTTAAACCAAATAAAAATGTTTATTGGACGTTTAAAAAATACACCATGCCTATTTGGGTGTTTTAAAGTAACATCAAACAAATCAAAAATGCTGTAACCAGTAATCACTTCTTTGCATATAAATTGTAAAACTTAAAACATTTCCTTAGACCAAATTTTTATCAGAAACTTTTGAAAAAGATCGCAAATCTGTTATTGATTAGCAGACAATTCTGGAAAAAACCATAACAAATAAAAAAAAAAAAAAAACTACCCGAAAATGCAAATATAATAAAAATGTAAAAAATTTAACGAAACCGCTGTAACTGGAACATTTATGGCGTTATTATTATTACGTTGTACATGTTTAACTTATCTACCAGAGGTACCTTTACTTAATGATATTTTAACTTACGTAAGTATCTTAACTTAAATTTTTTTTTATACTTTTAGGTAACACATATGGCTTGTTTTATCGAAGCATTACTTCCGACATATGGTTAGAGTTATTAAATTGGTCCAAATTATTATCAAAACATAAATAATTGCGAGATAACATACTTGATGTTAATCAAACACTACAAAATATCAAGCAAAATAAGACTTTTTTTATCTTTTAGATATATTAATTTCTAATTTTCGCACTTTGTTTTAATGTTTAATAATATATATATTTTATCAATTATTGTGCTTTAATTTTAAGATTAGAAAAGTTGATTATCGCGCCGAAGATTAAATAAAAAATTATATTTTAGGCAAGGCCTAAAATATAATTTTTAAGTATTTAACTTTTATCTTTCACTTAAGTAAATAATACGATACGATATTAAACTTTATTTAATTAATTTAATAATTTTTTGCATGAAGCGATATTGTGTATTGTTTTTCCTTTTTTTTAAAATCAAATTTTTTTTTGCACAACAGTATACTGTATATCATACTGTATCAACAGTATCAAACCAATGGACAAAGTGCATTGGTTTGATACTGTTGTGTAAAACTTTTGGCTAGGTTGTTAATATGAAAAAGTGCAGTTTTAACAACCTAGCCGAAACAAACTTTTTAAAAACAAACTTTATTAAAATAGTTAACTGTATAAATGCACATAGATAAGCATACTGAACGTAAAAAAAAAGATCAGGTAAATATTTGTTTACTGCTTTTGTAATTACCTTAGGAAAAAAGGCAAGGGAAAAATGCAAGCATACCTTGACAACTGTTACCATGCATTATTCATCAGTCAAAAGAGGTTATTGCTTTTTGAAATTGATAGATATGTGATATATGGATACGTTCAATTAATTGAGTTGCTTCAAATTGGTGCATTTGAGTAATAGTAATTAGATCTTATTTCTTTCCATTTATATTTTTATATATGAAAAGAAATAAAGCAAGTAAAAAACATTCTTGACATGCTTGCTTTACTTTTTTAATACATCTATTTAATACCAGAACGGAAAAGTGCGGAATACAAACCATATAATGGTTTTGAAATAATTGCTGCACACTGGCCAGGAGATGTCATATGAGTATGAAAACTAGACTATTTTATTTCACGTGCACAATAACCTTTTATTATTGTATTTTTTTCAGCATTAACAATACTTTCTAAGTATTGCATTCATCGTTTCACAACCCCAGCACCTAATACAATTAGAATGCGAATCGTATTAGAATGCGAATCGTATTTTTGGCGTTACTTTTAATTTTGAACCAAATTAATTACATCGGTTTTAAAATTGGACTGTTAAGTCTCAAACGTAGCAACTAAGACGCTGAATTTTCTAACACCCTTTCCAAACAAGTATAGCATAGAGCATTGTCTGCTTCAACAACCAAATCCTCAAACAGGTGTAACCCACTGGTTAAATATAGCTGATAATTACTCTTTACAAGAATCTGCATTAAATGATCTTTTGCAAGTGTCTATCATGAAAACATTTTTTGCTGATACAGCAGAAACAAAAAAAGTATTTTAACCTTTTTAAACAGGTGTTTTTATTACCAATCTTTTTCCTTGTCTGGCGCGACTTTTCATTTTTCTACAATAGGTTTATAAATTTTTTCATCCAACCAAACGTTCTGGCGATCATTTGTATCATGTTCCTTGATGTTCCTAAGATATTAGGTTTTTTATTGTTCTTTTTACACTGCTGTTCCTAGTAGAAAGGTTTTCGTACAATTTTACTAAACGAAAACTATATTTGAGATATTCGAGGCGAATTAAGTGCTGACGCTTATACTAAATTTTGTTAAAATATTTCTTTTACTACCTATTTCCGCTGCAAACTTAATCGTTTTCTTATTATATTTGACACATAATTTGCGCTAATTTTATTTGCGAACTGTCAAAAGGATCCGTGCATTCAACTACTATTTCATGCGTTAAAGATAAAACGTAAAATATTCTTTCAACTTGTTTTGTAGTATGTACTTTAAGCCGAAATATTGTACGAGCTGGATCTGGTTGTTTGAGAAGGGATATAAACAAATTCAGTTAAATAAATGTTAAATGGAATTTGATAACAGACTTTTGGGTCATAATGTATAAATATATATCTCAACAATCTTTTTTAGCATTTCTTTTGAGTAACCTGATTAAAATTTTTTGCATTACCGCTCTAAAAAAGTTCTAAGCTTCTTTTCATTAAATGGTTTATTCTTTTTCATTTACATTTATGGCAAGATTGTGTAGCCTTAACATTTGGAGATAAACCATATATATTAATTGACAAAGTTTAAGATCAGCTAGAAAGGATTATTTTTATTTTAATTAAGGATTATTTTTATTTAAATTAAGACTGTTCATTAGTATATAAATATTGTAGTAACTTTCAGCAACATTTGGAACTAATGCATGTAACAAAGAATTTTTCACTAAACCTTCTTTCTATTTTGAATTGTGAGATCCTTCATATGTATTACTTGTTGCTTTGTCTTTGAGATTATTCTTCTCAACTTCCAAACCTTCGATCTCACAATATGACAGTAGGTTCAAACAGATCTAAATAATTAAAAAAAAATATTTTTTAAAAATGTTGTACCTTCTTTTTTCTTTTTAGCTAAATCAAGCAGACTGAAACATTTTAGGAATAAGATAAATAACAATCAATGCAAATTTTATTTACCATCAAAAAGGCTCTTCCTCCACCAATACCAAGTTTGATTATTTGATTGCTTAGGTTTTCTTCTTTAATCAATAGTCAACTTTAAAAAAAAAACAACTTTACAAAACAATATTCAACTTTACAAAATCCTCAATATCTCTACACTTAATAAAGGGAAATTTTCCTTTATTTTTCAAGTTCACCGTCAATTACAAAAAGTGCTTTTTTCTTGTTTGCTTGCAAGCACGTTTTTCCTTTTATTAATATTTTATTTAAAACAAACTTTGTCTAAAATTGAAATTAGGTATATTACTTAAAAAGAGTAATGAACTAGGGTGTGCCGATTTTCCTTTTTTTTTTTGAAATTTTAAAAAGTGAATTTTTCTATTTATGGGAAATACTATTTTAAACTTAGTAAAAAAATTTACTAAAATTTTTTTTTTAAGCTTGGTAGTTTTTCCTTGCAAAAGTTAATTACCCACTAATATTACCAAAAGTTAACTGCCCTCTAATACTACCAAAAGTTATTTGCCCTCTAATATTACCAAAAGTTTATTTGCCCACTTATATTACCGAAAGTTATTTGCCCACTTATATTACCAAAAGTTATTGCCCACTAATATTACCAAAGACGTTTGCCCACTAATATTACCAAAAGTTATTTGCCCACTAATATTATTAAAAGTTATTTCCCCACTAATAATACCAAAGACATTTGCTCCCTATTATTACCAAAAGTTATTTGCCCACTAATATTACCAAAAGTTACTTGCCCACTAATATTACCCAAAGTTATTTGCCCAATAATATTAACAAAAGTTATTTGCCCACTAATATTACTAAAAGTTATTTGCCCACTAACATTACCAAAAGTTATTTGCCGATTAATATTACCAAAAGTTTCTTATTTCTAATTACGTCAACCTGGGTATCAAAAGAAGCGCATTTAAACAAGGATTTCGAAAATAGTATTTGTTTCTAACATAATTTTTGATTTTAGAGTTTATATTAGGAAACCCATCTAGATCAAAAATAATCCATGTAGTTATCCTTTAACAAAATTTAAAATCTCCATTTTAAAAAAAATACAAATATACTTTTTAAATCCTTATTTAATTACACTTCTTTTGTACCTAGACTTTTTTTTTTAATATTAGATACCTTGATAAAATCTCTCTTAAAAAAAAATTACAGATATACTTTTTTAACTCCATATGAAATTACGCTTCTTTTGATACCTTGACTTTTTTTTTAATTTTTTAAAAACAAAGTTTTTAAAAACAAAGTTACCGAGGTAGATTAAAATTTTTTTTTTTTTTTTCTTTCCCACAAATAAAAAAAATCTAGTCTTTTTACATTTTCAAAAAAAAAAGGAAAAATCATCAAACTCTAGTAAAAAACAGTATCTTTCAAAAAATTGTTTTTACCTAAATTTTTTAGCTAGCTGAATCAGTTTTTTTGTTGTAAAAAGTAAATCTTGATTGAATAATTATTAAATCAATTAAAGTGATCTGTATAGGTTGATTTTGTAAGGATCCTAATGTATTTGTAAAGATTTTGCAACAGTTGCAAAAAGTCTGCCAAAATTTAAGAATAGATTCTCAAGTAACTTGAGAACCTGTTCTCAAATAACTTGAGAACCGGTTCTCAAGTTTTCTCAGAATGATCATACACTCTTTTTGAGAACTTGAGAAACGTTCTGTTCTTTAAATTTATAAAAACAAAATACTTACATCAATGAAAAAAATACTTATATTATTGATTATATGACAAGCAAGATGGGAGACGGTAATAATTATTGAGCTGCGGTTTTAAAAATTGTAGCATAATTCAGTGTTTTAGCGACATTTTTTGTTGTACGTAAAGTTAAAATAAGTTGTAAAACACGAAAACAATATTGTACTAACTACTTTTTCTTTTTTGTAACTATAAATGGAACCAGCTTAGATATTAAAAAGTTTTAATTGGTATACCTCAGGGATCCATATTAGGTCCTCTTCTCTTTATTATCTATATTAATGATCTCAATCTTTCTATCAAACATTCAAAAACGTATCATTTTGCTGATGATACTAATCTTCAATTAATAACAAACTCTCTCAAAAAACTTAATAAATATATTAATTAGGATATGGACAGTCTTGTTCAATGGCTTAGAGGAGATAAAATCTCATTGAATACTAAAAAATCAGAAATAATTATATTTAAGACTCAAATTACTAACTCTTCTGAAAAACTAAGGTAAATATTCCAAAATACTTAAACTTTCGATTAAGTGGTCAAAAAATGTACTTGTATAGTAACATAACTTATCTTGGCGTTATGTTAGATGAAAAACTTTCATTCAAAACACACATATCCGACCTTACTCTGACGTTAAGCCGTTCCAACGGCATGTTAGCAAAAGTTTGACATTATGTTAACTTTGAAACATTGCTCTTTCTATATGACTCAATTTTTGGTTCACATTTACAATACGCATGTCAAGTTTGGGGACAATCTAAAACCGTATGTCTTTCTAGAGTTGTTTCACTTCAAAATAGAGCGGTACGGATTATTCATTTTTGTCCGAGAAATTTTCCTACTGACATCCTATATCTTACATTCAAATTCTTTGTTTCTATGACTTAATTCAGTTCTTAAATTGTTCATTTGTCTGGAATCAACAACATGGTGTCCTTTCTACTGTATTTCACAACTACTTTAATAATAGAACAACATGTGGGCATAACCTAAGATCAGTCACTTATAACAACTTAACTCTCCCTCTAAAACAGACAAGTAAACATGGAATTAATTCCATTACATACCAGTGTATCCTTTCTTGTAACTCCCTTCCGAACACCCTCAAATCACGTCTCATCCTTAGGTTTAAGAATCTTTTCTTAAAGTCACTCCATCATTTTTACCTAAAAGGTTACGCTTAACTTTACTTTTTAATTTTTTACTTTCTACCTTTTGACTTATTTTTTTATTTTTATTATAGTTTATTATTTTATTATAATATTATTTTAATTTTTAAATAATATTTTATTTTAAATAATTATTTTTATTATAACTTACTTATTTTATTACAATTCTTGTTTAAGTATATGTGCATATATTATTTACATTATATTAATTGTTATATATATTAAAAAGTCCGATTTTTTTGGTACAATTAAATAAATTTTATGCAATTTTACTATTATTAGTTAACATTATGTTAATTTATTTAACTTAACTTCCTTTTATAACCTACTTTTTTATGTGGTTTTGTTTATTACATATTTTTATTATTATTTTTTATCTTATTTAGGTAATTGCGCTTTATTAGTGAACCACTATTTGCAAAGATCTTTGATTTTGTAACATCTGTAACACGAAATATATTGTTATTGTTGTTGTTGTTGTTTTGTGAAATTTCGGTCTAACTTGTATACCCATCATCAGACGTAAAATAAAATTTAAAGATAAAGTTATTTTTAGATAAAGTTTTTGGATGCAGCCAGTCAAATATCCCATGGCATTCTTTGCAATGCTCAGTAGTTCCAGAAGCATGCCAATTGTCTTTCATGCTATTAATTTGGTGTCCTATGCTTTTTTGACAATTTCTCTTTTTTGTTTCCCCAATATAAATTCTCCTACACAATCACGTAAGCTTGTACACCCCAGGGTACTTTTTGGCATTAAACTAGATTTGTTGTTCCAGAGAATTGTTTTTAAATTAGGTGGTGTTCTAAAAATGACTTTGACATTTTATGTTTTAAGTACTTTTCGTAGTTTTGGTAGCCAAGGTAGCTTTGTTATTGCAACATTATTTTCTAGTTTTTTTGCAACTTTACTGTAAGGATTGTTTTTACTTGAAAGGTAATTCGCAGCAATCTTTTCTAGATTTGATCTCTTATGACCGTTTTCAACAAATAGATATATTATAAACTGAATCTCGTTGTTAATGTATTTTTCGAAGCAGATTTTGGTGGCTCGTGATATGAAATCTTTGAAAAACTTTAGTAATAATTTCAGAGTTGATATTTTAGTCGGGTTTTATTTGTTTGTTTGTTGTTGCTTCTTTACGTAGACTTTGAAATCATAATGGTAATTGTTTGTGTTAGTTATTTTTATATCATTTTTATATCTGTTTGTAAAAAACGGTCATAAGAGCAATTGAAAAGTAATTTAATACTTTGAAAAGTAACTTGCGGCAATCTAGAAAAGATTGCCGCAAATTACTTTTCAAGTAAAAACAATCCTTACAGTAAAGTTGCAAAAAAATAAGAAAATAATGTTGCGATAACAAAGACACTCGATGACCTTAGATGTAAACAAATTTTAGCATTTGCTGATGGAACTTCTAAGACGTCAGAGAGAAAGTGATTAAAGCCATAATGTTTTAACACCAGGAACAACACATGCTTTAGTTAACACCCTACAATGATTAGTAGAATTAATAAAAAAACTGCTTTCAGAAGATCACCGATATGTTCTTCCCGGTATTTTTCAAACAGATCATCTTGATCGTCTTAACAGCGTTCCAAAGTCTGAAAAACGTTTTCAATGTGTTGTTCGTTTAAAGAAATTGTTTTTATTCTTGCATTCAACGTTACCATTTGATTTAGAAACAGACAGTATATGTATTTCATAAGTTATCTCAATAATAACTAACTGTTTCTTGAACGGTGTTACGACCCTTGATAATACATCTGATATTGTTTCATTAAACATTGAGGACAGAAAAAAAAAAGAAACTCAATACTTAGTGATGTAATTGTTTAGTTGACGTTGGTGATATAATTAAAAACGTTTTGAAATGTATTTATAGCTTTATATTTATATGGTTTAAAATTTATTTATATTTATATATATATATTTTTATGATATAAATATAATATAGTATGATAAATAGCGATTAAATAGTTTATTAACAGTGTCTATAAAAATGATTATTTACAGCTAATTTACAGATAATTTACAGTTTCTTTGTAAAAAGTTGTTTTATTTTTAACACTTAATCAACAAAATTTAATTTTTGTTTAAAAATAGTGATAAATAATTGAGCCATAAAATTTTTTTATTATATTTCTATTCATAATTATATTTTTGTTTAATAATAGAAGTGTTTCGCTTTTTTTTCATCGGCCCTACCGTCAAAACTACATGAAATTAGAGTTTCGCGTCCTGTTGTTTTAGTACTCCCTGATTACTCCAATATTCAAGAATGGAAATAAAACAGAGCTGCCTAACTACAGATCCGTATCTTTAACATCTATACCATGCAAAGTTTTGGAAGCATTTATGAAAGAAGCGGTAATAACTTATCTGATGGAAAATAAATTGCTACCAAAAAATCAACGTGGTCTTGTAAAAAATAAAGCCTGTGTAACAAATTTGCAAGAAACAATGCACATTTTAACAGCATGCATGAGTGACAGTTTAGCGGTAGATATGTTTTATATGGGTTTTGTCGAAACCTTTGATAAGGTTCAACATAAAAGACTGTTGAAAAAGTGTGAAGCATATGGTATCAAGGGTATACTAAATGACTGGATATCGTCTGTTTTAAAAAATGAAGGCAAAGAGTTGTGATTGGTGTAAACGTGTCTCCATGGCTTGAAATTTTTAGTGTGTGTCTCAAGGCTCTGCGCTGGGTTCTTTGTTGTTGTTGATACTCTTAAACCCTCATTGATTGAGACAATGAAACTAAGAAAAAAGTATAAGAGAAAAGTCAGCGATGAAGAAGCTTCAGAAGAAAAGAATTAAAAAAATAGAGGAACAAGCATTCTTCGAGGTAAATATAATTTTATAATAATAAATATTTTCTTTTTTCGTATAATAATAATAATAACAATAATATATATATATATATATATATATATATATATATATATATATATATATATATATATATATATATATATATATATATATATATATGTATATATATATATATATATATATATATATATATATATATATATATATATATATATATATATATATATATATATATATATATATATATATATATAATATATATATATATATATGTATATATATATATATATATATATATATATATATATATATATATATATATATATATATATATATATATATATATATATATATATATATATATATATATATATATATGTATTTTGGTTTTAATTTGATTTTAGGTCGCAGAAGAAGAAGATATAGAATTAGATAAAGAACATCAAAAAAATATTTTTCCTGGCTTTCTCGATGAAAACTTTAATCTCGATAATGTTAACTTAACTTTAAAACAAGACAATGAAATTAAGATTTTGGTTAAAAGGCTGCTAAAAGAAAAGTTAGGTGTCTATGCTTTCCTTGTAACACGGTTTTTAGAAAAGAAGTCAAGATATAAAACAATGTCAATAAAAAACACAGCTATGGGTAGTATAAGGTAATTATATTGACTTTTGCTTTGTTGAGCAGCAACATGAGTTAATAGAATTAAATATAAACCATTCTTATTTTATAGGTTTGGGATTTCATCTGCCGCAACTGCAGCAATTGCTACAAGTTATCTTCAAGATTTAATTGAAGCATGATTTCTCACCCCTGAGTCCTCTTACCTTGCTTGTGATCCTTCTAAGTTGACGAGAGAGAGAAAAAAGGTGATGGTAGTTGCGAATAAAAATGATAATTTAAAACTTCCGAAAGCAGATAATATTGCCATTTACTTTGACGGAAGAAAAGATTCAACAAGAGCAATGATAAATGATTTAAATGGACAGCTACATCCTATTTTTATCAAAGAGCAGCACATTACTGTGACAATAGAACCTGGTGGTCGATGTCTTGGCCATTTTACCCCAAATGCACCTAATCATCTAGATAAGCCAGCTAAAAAAATTGCTGAAGGTTTTTATAATTTGCTGCAACAATATAATCTTACTGAATCATGTTTAGTACTTGGAGCTGACAGTACTTCAATTAACACAGGCTGGAAAGGTGGTGCTATAACGCATCTTGAAAAGCTGTTAGGTCACAAGTGCCACTGGGCTATATGCATGCTTCATTCGAATGAATTATTTTTGCGTCACCTTATAGAAGGCATTGATGGACCAACATCATGTAGTACTGGATTTGTTGGTCCTGTGGGAAAATTTCTTCCTAATGTTAATAAAATGGAGTATAATCCTCAATTTAAAGCTCTTCCAAAAGGAGAGAGCTTTGTCGACATTCCAGAAACAATATTAAAAAATATGTCAACAGATCAAAAACAATGTTACAAGCTATGTAAAGCAGTTAAGATTGGTTTATTGCCACCTAATCTTAAAGAAATTCAATGTGGCCCCTTAAGTCATGCCAGATGGCTCATAAAGACTATTTTCATGCCATACTGGCATGAAAATAGTCTTTATGTGGACAAGGAAACACAACTTAAATGATCAAAGTTCGCAAAATCTAGAAATACTTGTTGAATTTTGTTTACAATTTTACTTTAAACTTTTTTTTGACATAAAGGTCAAAAACAGACTTGAAGATGCTTCTTATCACATTCTGTCTCAATTGAGAATTCTTAGAATGCAACCTGATAGAGTAAAAGAAATTGTGTTTCCCTACATCCAGTTAGGGGCTTGGTATGCGAACCATGAAAGTATACTAATCTCTTTATTATCTTGTAATAATGCAGAAAATCGCAATTTGGCAGTTGATCAAATTTTGAAACTAAGGAGTAATGATATCCTTGGAGATATGCGAATCAGACCAAGAAAAACACCTAAACTTAACTTTGCAGCAACTACTCTTCAAGAGCTAGTTAAATGGGAAAATGGTGTTGTAGAAGAACCTGTTTTTACTTGTTCGCTCACCAGAGATAAGTTGTTATTACTTAGATTGATACCTTTAATAACTCCTTCGATTAAAATTCATACTCAAAGTACTGAACGTGCTGTAAAACAAGTGACAGTAGCATCCATGTCAGTATTTGGACCATATGCAAGAGATAGGTATATTAGAGCTAGAGCTCAGCATAGAGAGTTGCTACCTGTTTTTAAAAAAAAGAAAGAAATTTTATTAAATTTTTAACTTCAATAGATTTTTATTTTATTTTTTTTTTAATAGTGTTTTAGTAGTTCTATCAAAATATTATTGGGGTAAGATAGGGGGATAAACCACCTATTTTTTGGTGAAAGTATAAAAAACTGTTATGATCAAATTTTTTAATCATTAGAACCTCATAAAAAATTGAATACCCCCTCCTCCTCCCTCAAAAAAATGCAGAATCTGCACTGCAGATAGAATCCATGCAAGATAATGATTTTAAAAATCTAAAAAACTTTCAATAATCTAAAAATATTATTTGCATTTAATATTTTATCGCAATGAAAATGAAAATATAAAATACAATGAAGGACATGTGACAAATTAGATTTTACTAATTTTTGCTATTTCTAAAAGTCCATATTTGGGTATCAAAACTTTCCGATCAAAATTTTTTTTTAAGAAACCCTCTTTAAAATTTGATTTTACATAAAAGTACACCTTTTCCTAAGCTTTTAGAAAAAAAAAAAAAAAAATTCGCTGTACCCTACTATACATTGCCAAAAAAATAATAATAATAATAATAATAATAAACTTTCACAAATATAAAATAAGGTATCTGAAAGAAGATCAAATGATCTTGTCGTCAGAACCTTAAATAAGTTCAAACAAGCATTAACAGTATCAAATTTTTACAAATTTCATATATATATAATCCAAATATATATTATATAATTCAAAGAGAGATCATGCGGATCTACTTACCAATATTTTATATAAACGTATACGTTAAGTAAAGAATATAAAACCAACAAACTAAGTAAGGAAAAACCTTTTACATATGTAAATAAGAAAAGGCAAAGTTATGAATTCATATTATTAATAATAACATAATACGTCATCTAATGAAAAATTATATGCAGATGACAGTAAACTAATCAAAGTTAAAAAAAATGCTGAAGATCATGAGTCTTTGCAAAATGACATCAATGAATTTGTAAAATTGGCGGATACCTAGTTGACAAAGTTGAACATCGAAAACTACAAGGCAATGCATTACGGTAAAAAGAATTCACGAATGAGTTGTTGTATGACCCACGACGGCAAAGAGCACAAATTAAAAACAACAGTAACTGAAAGAGATTTAGGAATAATTATTTTATCCAACCTTAAATTGCATGATCAAGTAACTTCAGCGACAGCAAAAGTGCAAAGAACTTCGAGTCTAATTAAACGTACGTTTACATACTTCGATGTGGAAATAGCGAAACCAATTTATACGACGTTTGTGAGACCGCTTTTTGAGTTCGCTATACCTGCACGGCAGTCTTGTTTACAGCGGGATATTGATAAGTTAGAGAAAGTGCAAAGAAGAGCAACGAAGTTAGTGCCACAACTTGAAAAGATTTTGTATGAAAAAAGACTGAAAGCAATGGGTTTAACAACATTGGAGAAAAGATCTTATACAACAATACAGATTCAAGCAAAATATGGACCAAATAAATAGGTACAAAAATTCAAAACCGACATCATCCGTGACTAGTTCAAGCCCGGCTTTTTCTGTAAGGGGCAATAAATACAGATTAGAAAGAAAATACGTACCATCATGTTTACCGAGATATAATTTCTTTACCAATCGAGTTTGTAAAAATTGGAATTTGTAACCGAATAAAACCATTGAAAAAAGATCGTTGAATGTTTTCGAAACGCAAATAGATAAACATTTTTCATAACTTGTATTTTTTTAAATTGTGTGGGCTGTCTATAACTCGATTCTTGGATCGCGTTCCACAATTTATTTTATTTTTAAATATTTATATTTAAACAAATTTGTAATCGTTACAGCAATAAAAACACTATTACTATAACAAATCAAGTTTAATGCCAAACAGCAACCCTGGGGTGTTCGTGTGGGGGAATTTATATTAGGTATTCAAAAAAGAGAATTTTGCAAAGAAGCATAGAATACCAAATTAATAGCATGAATGGCAATTAGCATACTTCTGGAGCTATTAAACATTGCAAAGAATGCCAAAAAATATTCGACCGGCTGCACCCAAAAACTTCATCTATAAATAACAATTATCATAAAAGAAAAATAAGGGAATCGCTTGAATTTAACTATGCGTAAACATCTTAAGAGATTAAACAATTCCCAGTACTGCTTAACAGGGATAACGGGGTAAAAGTTGCTTCAAATCGTTGGAGACCACTATTTAAGAAAATCATAAAAAAACAAAATAATTTTTGTTGACGTCGTCTTTGTAGTGGCTTCTTTATGATTTTTAAATTTTATAGTGTCACAGTTTTTTAAATATTATTTTACGTCTGACGATTGTCTATACAAAATAGACCGTAATATCACACAAAAAATAACTAGTTAGTACAATGCAGTTTTGATGTTTTACAACTTACACTGTAAAGCTGAATGGTTCTTTAAACAACCTTAAATGGTTCTTGAAGTTGGTGCTAAGGAAGAACCCGTAGAGGTTCTTTAAAGAACCTTTTGTAGGGGTTCTTCGAAAGAACCTTACCGTAACGAACCCTAATCGGTTTTTTGAAGAACCTAAGGGTTCTTGAGAGTAAAATCATCCGGAGAGGTTCTACGAAGAACCATAAAAATAACCTCTTTTTTAAAGAAATACTTCAGGTTCAAGACATCTTACTGACAAAATAGATGTTCAGTACACAAATTTTGAAATAAATTTCTGAAAAAAAAATAATTAAAGAATAATAAATGATAGTTTTTAGACTATTAATTATATTACAACTTATTAAGTGTTAAACTTTTTTAATTAAGTTGATCCAAAAAGTTAAAAACACGGGATAAAAATGATACATCGTTAAGTTTTAATGCAAAATAAAGAATCAAACAACCACTAGATTAACAAAGCGCATATGTTACAATAACAAAAATTACAAAATAATTTACAAAAATTGCTTTATTTTCAAACTACAGTTTAATTTGAACCATATCGCGTCTTTCATATGCTCGTTTTTTACTTTCAATTGCAGATTCTATTGATGATTGAAAATCTGTGAATATTGATATCTGTGATATTGATGAAACTCGTGAAAATCCATTGAAGATTTGTATAATTCAGATTCCTTTTAAAATTAGCTAAACCTAAACAAACAATTGATGATATATAAAATATATATATATATATATATATATATATATATATATATATATATATATATATATATATATATATATATATATTATATATATATATATATATATATATATATATATATATATATATATATATATATATATATGTATATATATATATATATATATATAAAATACAATTCAGCAAAAAAAAAACATTAAAATTATTTAGCTATGAAAAGCAGAAACTTTTTGTAATACAATGAACTCTCGATATCTCGAATACTCGATATTTCGAACTTTTGAGTACCTCAAACTTTTTTTGAATCCTGTTGAACCCTAATTTATGGATTATACTCTCGATAACTTAAACATTTGCTATCTCTAACTAACTTCTTGGTCCCGAGGAGGTTCGAGAAATCGAGAGTTGACAGTACTTAAATTTTATTACCTTTTTTAGTGCTTTCATCAATTTCACGCTCAATTTCAGCAAATATTTCAAAAATAAAACCGTCTTTACACTTTAATTTTATCAAGGTTAAGATTTTATCTTCCATACCCTTCATCCGTTGATGAAGCTCTTTATCTAGATCTTTGCCAAATCTTAGTTTCATTTCACTAAGAAGCTTTAATATCATTATAATAAAAACTATTTTTGAGTTAAACCACAAAAAATAAAATAAAGAGAACAGTTAAAAGCATACCAATTCAGCAGAGCAGAGCCATGGGTATTTAGCTTTTAGATCGACTGTACAAAATCGACCATCAAAATCCTTTGCTCGGACAAACCAACTACGTTTTTGGCGATTAATTAGCATATTCATGTCTGGACGAAGTCTACGATATTCCATTAACATACCCTGATGATGTTTTGCTACAGTTAAATCATCCTCAACAATAGGCAGAGAATGTGGCTTAATAAAAGTTGTTTTTCAAGATTTATTTCATTTTTTTAAATTATATGATATAAAAAAAAGGACTTTAATAAATATGTATATATGTATACGATATACATTATATATACATATACACTTAAAATATATTATATATTCTTTAACATTGTATAATTTATATTATTTATTTATATTAGCCATTAAACAACTCACCAATAGAGGTAACTTGTTGTGCAGGCGGTGCTTGAAGATTCTTTATTATTTCCAACAACATAACTTGCTTTCGCATTGTTACACACAAATTTGAAACCATTGTTTCCATTAAACTCAACAATGCTTTTCCATCAGTTTCTTCATCTACATTAAAAGTAAATTGTTATTAACAAGAGCGTTAAACATTGTTATAAATATCCAAATATAGTTTAATTTTAAGCTTTAGGGTTAAATATCTTTACTTGATCGTTATTGAAAAAAATATCACAATACCATTGGGCAATTTAATATTTATATTTTAACAATTTTCAAAAACTTAATGTTGCGAATAATCAATAAATTGATAAAAGTACAGTAGGAGTAACTGAAATATTATATTTGCAAAGTTAAAATTATAGAGATTTTATGAACTTCTGTCATGTTTGTTGTTATTATGAAAATAATTTTGTCATGTTTACAACATTATTTTTATTATTATCATTATTTATTATCTTTAATATCATTATTAAATCTAGAGTACTAATAGTAAAGTTATTAATAGTAATTATTGACTACATTTTTCTACCAATATTATTGTTTGCGAATCGCTTGGTCAACAAATTTGACATTTTTTTGTACAGCAGATTATATCAAAAACACAACTTTCAGAATTTATTTATTTTATTTATTTAAAACACAAGTTTTTGAGCGTAATATAAGAGTCGCCATCTTGTATTGCATATGTGTCTAGAAGTTGATAATCACAAACTTCTGTTGGCAAGCATATTGGCAAGGTTTCGTTTTCGATAACTCTGAATGGATGCAAGTGCTCATTATATTTGTCACAAATTAGCAACTTACCACAAAATACCCAGTGTTGGCGAAATTGAATAATATTATAAATTTTGAAAAAATAAAGGAATTTTTTCTGCATGAAGTAAAGCTAAAATAACGGTATCATGAACATGAAATTGGATTCTATTTATTGCAATGGCATTACACTTCCAAACTGTTTCCTTTTTTTTCAATAATATCATTAAAAAAAAAGACATCAACTTTTCTTGAAGACAAGTTGCTAAACAATCAAAAATAACTGAACATAGATGTTTCATACTTTTCATTTAAAAAATCAGAAGATGCCATCTCCCAACACTGTCTCAGCTAATGTCGCTTTGCAAGAGAAAAACCTATATTTTTAAAATTTCTAATGCAAGAAGCTAACTTTTTGAAGTACAAATGTTTAGCTTCAAAACGCATGCACCATTAATATCTCAGGGGTCCATTTTTGGAGCAAGTACGTAATCAGCGATATCTCGCAGCTGCAAGTACAGTAACCAATACACATTAGATATTGGTATGCGATTACCAATCATTAACAGTAGTAACCAAAAACATACAAAACTTCTGTGACGCTGAACCAACAAAGTTAATAGACGCACCAGTACGGATAACAAATGGTACTGGTTTGTTTTTTCTGTCATTTCTCCCAAATTCAAAAATGTTAAGCTCTGTGTTAATCTGTTCTACTGTAATTATAACAAGTGCTTTAAATTTTAACAAAATTAAATTTACTAATTGTGGAACTGTTCCTTCTAACATATCATGCATGATGTCTAGTGGGAAAGAGACTGTAAAACATTAAAGTATGGTAAATCTAATAAAGGACAGCGTTTATCAACACCGTAAACACTAGAAGAAATGCGACCTAGACCAGAAATAGCAGCTAAATGATAATGATGCATTTCATTGGTACAAGTTGTTGAATCACATTTAGCCAAAATTTTATTTTTGTTAACATAAGAAGTCATGCAATGACGACAAAAATGACCAGAGTTAAAAACACGTTGAAAACCAGCAAGTGCATGAGAGGAAAGATTATCAGCAGATATAGTTGCAACCCCTCCAAACAATCGAACCTGAGTGTTATCAACTGTAACTAATATACCTTTATTTTGCAATGTCAGCAAATCCTGAATTAAAGGTCTTAAAACCTCTTTGTATGTTTTATATTTTTTTATAAACTTTTCTTTAACAAGAATACATAAATTTATATTCTGAAGTTGAGAAATATATTGCTCTTCAATGTTGCTTAAGAAGAAATAAAACACACAGAGTTTATATACTGAGCAATGAGCCCCAATGGGATTACATACCTCAAATTCATCACAATATAAATGAATTCTTAATGCATTCTTGTTTTTAAAAATGACATATTGTTTACAATTTAAACCATCTGAATATAAATATAGAAAGTCTTTATTAATTGACTCATTTTTTTAAGTTTTCGTTTCATTGAATGCCAGATAAGCTCATTTTCGACTAACTTTTTTAATAATGGCAAAATGGGCACATACTGAAAAGTTTTAACCTTTTTGCTAGAATTGACCACAGATTAAACTTTATCTACAATCAAATCACTATTTAAAAGTTGACATAAATAACATTATTAACAAAGTCTTCCCCATGTTGCTGCTTTACAAGATCACAAAAAGTATGATTAAAATATGTCAACAAAGATTGAACTTCGTTCGCTAAATCAGTTTGAACAACAGACTGAATCGAATGTTTTTCTGCTATTGCAACTACAAACATAGCGTAATGTTTCTGCAAATAACTGAGTAAACTGTATAGCGAGGATATGGCACCTATATTAGAATCCAAACTACAACTTGCTTGAATGCAGTTGTTAGTGGTAGAATCTATCACAAACTCAGCTATAGTGTTATCCCCATTACTATCTGCTAAAATGTGGTTTTCCATTGTTTCACTAATATTATCAGGCTCATTTGTTAATATTTGAGGTGTGCAAAAAATGAAACTATGCTTTTTGTGTATATGGTGACGTAAACATTTTACAGATTTATATTTGGCAGGACAACTATTAATATTACACAATGGAAAAAAACCAGGGGTATGTTTATGCATGATATACAAATGTTGTAAATATTTTTGCACAGAATACTTCTGCACGCCACATATGCAACAAGTAAAACTAAAGTTATTATTAGATGCAGCCATTTCAAAAAATATTATTTGCTAAATACAAAAATAATATAGATTTAATATCAGTATAATTATTACTAAACAAACATTTAAAAACTCAAAATGCATTATCTAACCAATAATTTTTACTTTTAAATCACCAAAACCTTTCTGCTCTAAATGCAAACAAACTTCTTCAATTGACCAATTCATCATTCCAAATTTTAACTAAAAATTTAAGGACAATTGTACTTTAAATTTGAATTAACTTATATGACAAAATAAAGCTAATGCATTGTCATTGTATTCAAATTAAATTACCAAAATTAATTTTGGATGCAGTAATACTGTTTTGAAATATAATGCTGGGATCATTGCATAAAATCTTAATATCATACTGCCAGTATGATATTTGGATTCTGTATAATGATCTTAACATTATATTTTAAAACATAGTTAGACAAATAGTAATCATTAATGATTACCACAATTAGTACAAATTACGTTAAATTTAGTACAATTAGTATAAATTACGTTTTGTTTTAGTTTCAAACATTTTCCCTCATGAGTATATGATTTTTTATTTTACCTTATGAATTTTGGATCCACACATTGTTTGGATCCAAAATTCATAAGGTATCCAAAATGAATTTTAGTAATTAATAAAACAAAACCATATCTTAAGCTAACAACTGTTGGTAGTGTATCATTTTGTTTCATAATTCATGTTTAAACGTTTAGTCAAGTTTATAAATCCACGTTGTAATCAACTAACTTGCTGGATAAAAAAATATATCGAAAAACAAAATGGAGTTAATGATTTATTAGGATAGTGTCATTCATAATGAAATCTGATCAAAGGAATGAAACCAATTTTTAATATAATAGAAGTAATAATAAGCAAAGACACACGGACCGTAAATAAGCAGACCAAAGCACATAAAATATACACCAAAACAACCTGTAGAAACCAATTTGCAGATTTTAATAATAAAAAAAAGAAAAAAATGTATAAAAAGTACTGATGATAATTGTAGTAATTACAAAAAGAAAATTAAAAAAATATTTTAACTTAAAAGATAATAATGCCAAAAAGTTAGAATAAAAAGTTTTTCAGAATTTTTTAAAAGTGATATTGCTTAAGATGGAGTAAAGGTATTTTTGGATATATTTTTGAACTCATTCAAAATGCATGCAAAGCTCCTGTTTCATTCACAGACGCACTGATAAACGATAGAATGTTTACCATACTTCTGGGTTTTAAAAGATGATACATTTAGTTTTCCATTGTGTATATTTCTAGTCAAGTAGGAGTGTAATAGTCTACTTTCTATGAAAAGGTTTGTGATAGATGGTATACTTTTATTTAAGGAGTTAAAAATAAAAAGAAGATTAGCATACTTTACTAGCGCTGGAAATGTTGAAATGAAAAGTTTTTTGAAGGACTTTGATGTATCTGATTTAATTGTTTGGAAGTTTATTAATCTAATGGATTGACGCTGAGACGATAGCAACTTGTTAATTCGATAGTTTCTAACTTGACCCCAAACTTGACAACAATAGCTAAGATGAGATGAAAATAATGCATAGTCAGTTTTCCTATGTGTAACTTAATCGACATATCAACGAATTCTTGAAAGCATACCTTTAGCTCGAGTTTCTTGCTTATTTCATCAATATGAAAGTTCCATGAAAGATTGCAATAAATTAATACATAAAGATATTTAATAACTTTTGAAAGATATAGCCGTTTATCATTAATTTCGATTTGATTTGAAGGTAATAATAAACTATGCAAATTTGGATGTTTAAGAAATTCTTGATAGTTAATGTAAGATGAATGAATATTGTATTTGAGTATATGAGCAACATTTGTAAAAAAAGTGTTAAATGATTCAGAGATAAGAGTCGGGTCAGTTATATATGTATCATTTTTTTGCAAACAGTTGGGAGACGATATATTCAAATTTTTTACATTAATTAGAGTGTTAATACCTTTCCAAAGTTCGCGAAGATTTTTTACATTTTCTGAGAAAAATTTTTATAATTTTTTTTTTTTTACTAAGTTTAATTAATGTAAATATTATATATTTATATCTTTTAAAAATACTTTCAAATTTTTGTTTAATAATAAAATCTTTAGATCTTAACATTTTTTGTTGGAAAAGATTGCCCACTTAAAAAGATTTTATAATTCCTTTTGTAATCCATGGTTTGAATCGACGTTTGAACTTTTTGATGCTTATTTTTTTAAGCGGGGCGTAGCAATCTAAAATCAATGTTGTTTCATGGAAACATGTGTTAGTATCATTGGTCTTTGTAATATCGTCCCAGTAAATTTTTGGTAAACTAGATTTAAAGTTTTCTTTGTTAAAGTTTTTAAAACTCCTGCTACATAAATTGTGTCTGCGTGGTATAAATAATTTATTGAAATTGGGACAAATACAAATTTGAGGTAAGTGATAAGAACAGAAGTTGTCAAATTTCCTGAAATAATTTCATTAGCTATTAAACGGGACGACTAAAAAATCGTGAATATCTTAAGTGCGAACTTGCATAAGTTCAAACTAGCATATGTGCGAAACGGCATAAGTGCGCCAAAACATTTTTCAAACGTTGACTTAAGTGCGAATCGGCATAAGTGCGAATTGGCATAAGTGCGAATCAGTTACAAAAACTGGTACAAGTGCAAACTGGCATAAGTGCAAATTGGCATAAGTGAGCCAAATAAATTTGCAAACATTGGCATAAGTGTGAATTAGCATAAGTGCGAACTGGCATTAGTGCGTATCAGTTACAAAAACTGGCATAAGTGCAGACTCGCATAAATGCAAATTGGCATAAGTGCGCCAAACAAATTTGAAAATATTGGCATAAGTGCGATTTGGCATAAGAACAAATTTGTATGAGTGCGATATACTAATTTGCACTCATGCCAATATTTAAAATTTTGTTCGGCGCACTTATGCCAATTCGCGCTTATGCCAATGTTTGCAAAATGTTTTGGTGCACTTATGCCAATTCGCACATATGCCAGTTCGCACTTATGCCAGTTTTGACAACGCTTTGCACTTATGCCGATTCGCACATATGCCAATTTGCGCTTATGCAGCCTCCCGTATTAAACTAAAAAAAATATTATCAATAATTGTAGCTGAGTGATCAGTAATTCTAGTCGGCAAAATAATAAAAGGGCTAATATTATAAAAGGAAAATAAGTTTAAAAAATCAGATGTCGTAATGTCATTATTTGATTGCATCGGATCAATATTATAATTACCAAGTAAGTAAACAGATTTATTTTCAGCAGATATTTTTTAAAGTAAGACACACATGATATTATTAAAAGTATTAATATCCATGCAAGGGTGTCTACAAATGTAACCAACTATAATATTAGACTATTTAGAAAAAAATAACTTCAACAATTGTGGATTCTAAACAATTAGGTGTATAAATCATTAAATCATCACTTTGTTTGTTTATTAGTTTTTTTGATAAAAATAATAATGTACCATCACAAGAGGATTCCGTTAGTCGATACTCAATGTTGTAATTATTAATGAGAATCGGATGAGTTAAGGATGTATCTTTTTTTAACCTTGTTTCAGTTATACCAATAATGGAAAAATTAAAACTAATTAATGATAATATTATGTTTAAATCCTCTAAGTGTTTTTGTAATGATAACATGTTTAGATGAAAAAAAAGAGAAAGCGCTCATTTTATTAAAATTAAGTGTACATAATTCGCTTATGTCATAATATTTATAAACTATGTCTAATAAAGAAAAAATTTTTTCCTCAGAATCTAAAACACGAGATGAAACATAATTATTAATTTGATTAGAGACTTTATTTAAATAAAAACAGGCGAAAAGGTTTGTAGACAGAGGTATCTCATCAGAATAAAGAATTATATCAGGAGAAAATAGCAATTTAAATTCATTATCTTGTACACATCTGTGAATGGAAAGACACTTTTAATATAGTTTAAACAATTCCCCAACGAGCGATTTAATTGAAGTAACTGTACTTAGTATCATTAAGCCTTTCACATTTTGTATGAGTCCAAAATAGGGTGTATGGAAAAACCACTTTTTTTGAATTTGAAATTGTAATAGAGCGGAAAAGTTGCATAATGATATAAAAAGTAGTTGTGCCAAGTTATTTTGTATTTTTTTTTATGTCTTCAGTTCGCGCTAGGGTTTTATTTTTCGTAGAAAAACATGTTTTTTACCAAAATAATTTTTTTACCAAAATAAAAATAAAAAATTCTATGCATATATTAAAGTTGTAATAAAGTTTAAACATTAAACAATGACTAAGTTGGAAATGGTTACAATTTTAAAGAAATTATTTTAATGTCTTCAGTTGACGCTAGTGTGCTGAGTTTTGACAAAAAAACACTGTTTTTTATTTAAAACAATTTTAATTATATTGTTGATGCTTCCATTTGTCGTTACCTGTCTATACTATTACAACAATGGAACAAAAGTAATTAAAATGTAATAAACCAAATAATGCCAATGGTTACAGCGGTGATTTTAAAATAACATTAGTAAGTAAAATGTCACTAATTACGTCATTTATTAACATTACCATCAGCATTATTAGAAAATTAGCTTAAAGCACAGGTTATAATTTCTTAGTTCTAATTTACATCTGTTTATTAATTAAATAAATTGAAATCAAAGAAAATTTTAACGGCAAAAATGTCTTCCGCTGCAGTGACAACAAGAAAAAAGTCTACTTGTCCTATCTTTGGTTCACCAGAAGACTTACGAGCAAATGTCTTGCCAACATACAAACATGTCATGCTAAGTTATCTTTCGTCAAATCAGAAAATGAGAGTGGAAACTGGTGGAAAACAACCTTCTTTGAAAGAAATGTCTGAAAATTTGGCGCACAAAATAGAAAATTTGTGGGGAAAAGCATCGATACCTACTGTGTCTCATAAACGCATTGTAAAAATGTTTCTTGATTACAATCAAAAGTATAGAAATATTATAAAGTCTGTTAACAAAACGAAACATACAGACAAATTGAAGTCGAAAATAATAACATTTCAAAAGCATGCAGAAAATACTTTATTTGACGTTGCAGCATGCAAATGGCTTGATTTTTCTAAACGCGTCTGTGAAAAAGCAAAGAAAGTACCAGAGAAACAACATAAGTTTCTTAGGAATCAGAGATTTATGAGAATTATGCATATGGAAGGACTCGATA